CTCTGGAGCCCCTGCCTCCCTTTGTGCCCTCAGAGAGGTGAACCCAGCACCAGTCGCTGCTGCCTGGGAGCCAGGAGTGTGCCCTGTACCCAGCCCTGCCAACACAGGGCCAGGCACCTGGCCTGGCTGCTCTCCTGGGCACCCGGGAGCCCTCTGTGCTCCCTAAATCCTCAGGGAAAAGCACAGTTGCAGCACACTTTCCCATCCCCTCGGCCAGGTTTCCTTCATGCTGAAGCCAGGTCGAGAGCGGCTTCACCGCACCCCTGGCCCCCTTCCTCCCAGCCTGCTCTCGCCCTCCTCTTCACTCTGGTCGGCAGAACATCCCAGCCATTAAGTGCTCCACGAATGCCATATATTAAGAAAACAGAGAAGCGCGGCAGCGGGGGGAGGGGCAGTAATAGATTTCCGTCAGGATGTGCCTGACCTGTTTTTTTCAATTTCAGTAATTAGAAAGGCAGTGGGCCTGTAGGAATTATTCATAAACTGCAGGAGCTGTGCAGTATACATTTATGTTAAACATGTCAAATCCGATTGAAATCATGCCTGCCAGCACCATACTCCATAAACACACTTTTCTGCAACAATTTCCCAGCTCTCGGCAGCCCATTAATACCTCCTTTAATAGCAATCTACCACGGATTCGAATCAGGGATGCTCCATTGCACTAATTGCTCTGTGTTAGGTGAGCATCATGGATTAAAAAAAAAAAATCATTAAAAAAAATAAAAGCCCTTCAGGCTAGTCCTCTAGAAATATTTCATCTCAATCTATATTTTAAGTAGAGTTTGTTTCTTGTTTTTGTGGAAAAAAAAGCTGATATTCTACATCTATACAACTGACAGTGCATTAAGAAAGTCTCTTTCATAGCTGGGTCACTGCAGATGAAGGGCTTTTCTCTAGTCAGAAAACAGATATAAGCCCCACCCCAAATCTCAGTCTTGTACTGATCCACCCTGGTTGTATTCAGGCTTTAGCTGGAAACCAGTGTGTTGAATATTAATAGATTACATTTGGCCTTAAAAACGGAGTAAGAATAGCCATGATTCCTTTCCTCCTGGCTGGTTTGCTTGTGATAAATCTCACGTTAGTCACAATGAGATAATTCCTCAAGCTCAGGCATGAGGCCCAAAGCATCTCCCTTCTCCAGACCCGAGGTGGCTCTGAAGCAGGAGAGCAGCAGGCAGGGCAGGAGCAGCTCTGGCACCTGGGAGCTGATCAATCCCACTGTCAGAGAGAGAGGATGAGGAGGAAGGAACCAGGTCCTGTCTAGAAAGAGGGACCATCAGCCCTCGTCTCTCCGGAGAGCCACAGAGCAGTGCCAGGGGAGGCAGCTGGGATCAGGACACATCAATCCTGGGATGGAGTTTTCCACACGTATATTTCAATGGAAGGTATTACCTAAAAAGATGTTTCTGCTTAACATTGTTCCATTTTAAAATAAACACAAACCAAACGGATAAATTCACTCCGCAGCTGAGACGTTTTTACAAATTTGCAGGAAGGTTTTTCCTTTCCATGCAAGCACGGACATGGGGGCAGCCTGACCCATGCAGATGTGTGCACTGTGGAGCCATCAAACCACACTGACCCTCCAACCACCAGACAGAGGGAGCTTGGGAGAGACACTGCATGTTTTGCTAGACATCCAACAACATCAACTCTTTGAGAAAGTGGGAGAATAAATCACCCAGTGCACAGTACAAAACTGAGGCACAAAAAAGGTGAATAAATTACTAAGAAACCTAATGATCAAACTGCAGCACAATGAACAGAAAACAGGTCTATCAACCACCACTTCAACACACTATTTATTGGCTTTGAGCTTGTATTTCTTCCTCACCTATCTCCCACTTCCACAGAACTGAAGGGCTCAGAGGCACCTCTAAAGGTCAGATGGCCCATCCAAAGCAGGACAGACTGTTCGTACTTCATTCCCAACAGCACTCCTTCCAATTTTGAAAGCCCTCTGAGGAACCTTCCCAGAAACTCTACTCCAGTGTTTCATGAGCTGTACCAGAAGAAGTTTTTTTAAATTATCTAACCTCAATATTTCTCCCTTCAATTTGAGCCCATTACTTCTTATTGGCTATATCCTGAACATGAACAAATTATTTTCCTCCTTTCAGAAGCATTTTATGCATAAGAAGACTTATCTTCTCCTCTCCTTTCGTCTTCTCTTTTTGGGTCAAATAAGTCCACTCATTCCATTCTCTCCTCACAGCTGATGCTATGCAGACCATGCTCTCTTCTGGGTTGTTTGTGCCGCTTGGGCTTTCTGTTCAACTTTCTTGACACCTGTAGCTCAGAAATGGATGCAGTCTTCCAAGGGAAGCCTTCCAGCACTGCAGAAATGCACCCATTCCAGAGCATTTTCACCTACACCATCATGCTTTAGCTCCGTTCTGAGACTCTTCTGAAAACCAGTGCTGAAAGTCTTCCAAAGGAGAAGATAGGAGATATCGACTGCAAACAAGACCTTCTTCACACAGAAGGAAATTGGGTCGTGTTGACATGATTAGTTCTTGACAAATCTGTGTCGACTGTTCATCTCATTATCTTCCCTTCAGTACTTACAAAGAGTTGTTTGGTCAATTCCCAGGAAAATCTGGGGCAAAGGGAGCTGGCAGGTGTGCGGTTCCCCAGCCCCTCCTTCAGCCTAAGATAAGCACCATGTCGGTCCCCTTGTGGTACCTCCCCTGTTTCTGTAAGTTCATGAGAGAGCAGCTGGCAGGTCTGAGGATGCTTCAGTCACTTTTACCAAACCCCCAAGTACGAAGCAGCAGGTCATGGGTGTGACAACATCTAGCTTAACAAAGTCTTAACAAGTTCCTTCTCAGCTGAAGATGAGCTCTCCCCACAACACCGCTCACGTGGGCTGCTCTGGTCCCTCACACTGTCTGTTTAGTGAGGATGAATGCAAAGAAGGCTCTTCAGCTTTCCTGAGGTGGTGATTGAGAGCCTTCCCACTGGGCTGAGCTGCAGACCAGCTCTTTTCTTGCACTTACCTCTTAGAAGAAGGCAGTGCTCCCCTATAGCACCAGTTTCCCTCCCTGGATACACCTGGATTTGTACCATGGCATGCTGATACTGCTGTACATGTGGACATTGCTCTTCTGTGGTTGTCATGAATAACCTCACCTAATTTCCATTACTTTCCATGCTTGAGATCCAGAAGGACATGGCATCATGGTCATGTTCCTCAAAGGAGCTTGAAAGCAGAAACAACGCAAGACCGAGGTGTTGTACCTGTATTGCACACTCACTGTGCAAGATCAGTGGGTAACTTCTTTTTTTTTTGTTTTGAAGCTCAGGGGTGATGTTGTTCCATGTGTGAAAGCACAGCCTGAATTCAACAGCAGCACGGACATACCTCTTGCTGAGGCTGTACACTCATCCCTGCAATGGCCCTGGCCAAGGCCTTTCCTGAGCTCTGTGGGCTTACACACACAGCCTGTGCACCCCTTTGGGAACACCCCAGAAGCTGGCCATTTCTTATCTGCTGTTCAAATGACAAACATCAAAAGTGGGTTAGGAATTTCACTGGCAGTATTAAGAAATAAAGCCATCCAAATGTATAGTTTCTGGATGGTAAAGGGTTTAAAAAGTAGATTCTTCACTTTGCCTTACATGTTTTAACATATAAAAATCTTATTTTCATATAGGTCAGATTTTCCAAGTGCTTCAAGTTTGGTCCAAGGGCCCTACTTACACTTTGAGAGATGCCATAAACACACAATACTTACATCTCTCTGTGACACTTCATGAAGTGTGCTCTTGCTTAGGATCACACAATCCCACACAAGAGACTAAAATCCACCTACAGCCAAGCACAATCTGCATCTCTGGGTTGAAGAATGGCTCTGGGAGAGGGAACGACGCACAGAGCAACGTCAGCAAGTGCAGTCTGGACTGAGAACACGAGCTTCAACAAACATTAAAACCCAGCTCACTTTCTTCACCAGTTTGGACATATCTTTCAATGAAAGACCACATTTCATCCTTTTGAAGACTGGAAACTGAAATACCTCTTGGGCTGTGGCTCACTAAGCAGCACCCACAAAGATGACAGGAAAAGGCTGCCTGGAAGAAAGGTCTCTGTGCAGCCTGAAATCACCACACCAGCAGCCCTAAGGCTGTCAACTGACCAGGCTGCCATGCAGAACCAGGAACAGGGAGTCAGGACTGCTCTGTCCTGGATCAGGGAAAACCAATCCTACCTCCAGTGCCTCTATTTCCACGCCTATGCTGAAGTGGTCAGTGAGGGCCAGCTGGAGGGGAATGGCCCTCTCCAGAGGACAAGGAGCAGCTGCTTTATGCACAAAGGCAAGGAATATTTAAAAGATTCCTCCCACTTACCACTGCAAGACAGCAATCATCTTCTGGGAAAGACAGGGTAACCTACTACCTTCACAATGAATCCATCTAAGGATTTTGCAGAGAGAAACCTTTCAGGTTCTACTGCAACAACCCAAGTATTGCTGTGGACCTGCAGTGTCTGTTTCAGCATGTCATGGCTCCAGCAAAAAGTGAGCAGTTAACAGAGCACAAGCACAGTTCTCTGCTCTGCTTTTCTGTATCAGAATCTTGCTACCAAAGCCAGGACCACAATGAAAAAGCACGCCAACAGTCTTCCAAAGTGGAGCTTCATGACACACTTAATCCACAGCAAGTGTTGGCTGCTGCCAGAAGAGACAGTCCCCTGCTCCCTCTGCCTGTCCCAAGAGCTGATTCCCACCACCCACGTCAGGTCTATCACACTGAGCTCTGACCCTCTGCCTCAGGGTGAGCCTGGGGCTGGTGGCAGGGACGTGTTGCCAACCATGGCCCAAACAATGTGAACGTGTCACGAAGCTACACCCAGAGTTCACAGAGGATGACACAATATCACGCTGACAGGGTGCGTGGAACCATCATGAACGGAAATAACTTGGCAGACCACTGCTCTGCAACTTCCCACTTTCCATTCCTGGATTTAAAGAAAAAGAGGGACCAAAACCCACCTGTCCATTTACTCTGGTCCTTGTCCCCTCCACTCTCTTGCTCCTTGGCAGGCTCTTCAGCATCACCAGCTGTTTCATTGGGCCCTTCCACATCTTCAACGGGTTCTTCTGAAACAAGAGAAGCAGGAAGTCTAACATAAAAATGGAAGTTGAAAAAAAAAGGAAGTAATTGCCATTGAGCAAAAGTACAACAGCCAACGCTGAAGCACAAGTGTTGAGTGGCAGGTATCAATGTCACCCAGCATTCTCCCAACAACTACCTAGTAGCTGGTCAAGAGAGAAACTACAGAGGAAAAAAGTGAGAGCTGAAGGCTCTTGCCTACTTCTTCCACCTATAGCTACTGATGGCCCCTGTGGTCTCATGTACAGTAACATAGTCTGGTATGAGAAGGTTTTACCCACACAGGCCATGGTGTAGAGAAGCATCAGAGACTGACCAGAGCTTCCAGCACCTTCAGCCTCAGCTTTCCTCCTCAACCCCATCTCAAGCTCGTTGGACTGAACAGCACCGTGCAGTACTGACCCTGGCCACTGAGATGCCCTAGTTCACCACAGAAGAACCACCACTCAGTGCTGCTCAAAGCACAGAGCAGCACTGTCTGCTGCAGACATGGTTCTGTCACAAGGCATGGAGGAAGCTGCCAGGGGGTCTTATTTTCATCCCTTATTTCATCAAAGATGGAGTTTAAGCACACAGGTGGTATCATACAGGTGCAACAGCATGAGGAGAAAAAATACCCAGTGCAGTGAGGCACTGAAAGCTGGGAACAAAACCCAAGCACCAGTGCCCCCGTCACTAACCAGAGCTCGGGCGAGGCCAGTGGGACAGGGCGTGGTGACACAGGGACAGTTCCAGTCAGGGACACCCTCACCACCTGGACACTGGCAGCGAGACACTGGCAGCTGCCAGACCTCCTGCACCAGGGGGTAACTGCTACATTACCATCTCATGTCCTGGGTGTTTATGTCTAGTGTGTGCAGTGTGACAGCCACCAGGTAATTCGGCCACATCAACACTGGGAAGAAAAGGTATTTTAAGCCATTACATCCTCTTTTAGGCAGGACACTTCATAATTCTAGCTTGCATTATCTGGTCATGGTAAATCCTAGGCTATCCGGAGGTTTTATCTGACCTTCCTCACCAGTTAAATCACCACTCTCCATGCTCCCTTAACAAAGACAGGGCTGGTGATTTATGCTCTACCCTTCTTTCAGTCCATTAAAAGCTGGAAACTCTTGAGAGCCGCAGGGATCCCAGTGGTCATCCTCTGGGAAAACAGGACCCCAGAGCCATGGGTGGCATCACCAGGCAACGGCACCAAATGCGTGGGAAGACACAAATTACTGATGCATGGGTGAGATGAGCAATCTGCCTTGTCAGACGAGTGGTCAAGTTTGCTGGAGAGGAGGGCTGTGAACTCAGCAGCTGGATTCATGCTTCAGAAATTAAAATCCCAATTTTTTTCTACTCTGGGGAAAAAAACCCAACAAACCACTTTCCTCAACCCAACCACCTTGCTGCCTTTATAGTGCTGCTGTGCAGGGGAGACAGCTCCCCTCCAGCTGAGGCAGCTGGCATAGGAAGCCAGATTTTAGCTGGTTTTATTAAAAACCATCACTAATGGGTTGCTACTATTTTATCCAAATACTCATTTTGACCTTCTCTGCTGGCTCAGGAGCTGCCTTGGGGCCGGCTGGGGACAGCCCGTGCCGGCAGAGCTGGGTGGGAGCTGGAGCCCCCCTCGCCCCCCATCCCACC